TTCCTTGTGGTAACGGTAAGTTTTCGGTCTCTTTGCTTCATCATTTTCGCTCAGACACTACAACTATCAAATAGGCAATCAAACTTATCAAACTGTTGGCAAATGTGTCACAGCCAGTCTGTTTCGCTCCACTATGCACAGTAGCGAATGTGGGGTTCGTGCAGCAATAACCAAAAGAACATTCTTGGGCAGCGCCCACAACACTCTTTATTTACGGAGCTCCTGCAGCCTTTTTTTCAGTGTCAGCCAGCACTCAAGGAAGATACTTTAACAACCCATTCAACAAGGGTTCAATACACACAAGGGCAGTAAAATTTATGACATTACATGCACAGATCTGAATGAATTTTTAGGCTATCAAAAAAGTAGTCAAATGGCCCATTTATTTTTTGCCAAACATTCTTGCAATCCACTGGCAAGCACTCCAAAATCGACTGGTATATAGAGTGAACCAGTTGCTTTGGCATCCCTGGTTTCTCTGGTGAAAAATTAAGCACCATGTGTTTTATGACATGCCACCTAGTTTTTACTCATTTTTAAGTATAAACTGGGGCCATTACATTTTAAGATGAAGCAAAAGGATGACAGGAAGGAATCCTTTACTACAGATTTCTAGTGTGCTATTATTTCAAATATGGAAAAGGTAAGGGCCCCTCTTTAATTATCTGACTTTTTCTTATTATTTATAAATTACTCTCTCCCTATCAAATTCAGATGCTAAGCTATCTTCCAAATTGCTTACATGACTTGAGACTTACACAACTAAACTGATTCCTCATAATTGAACAGGGCTTCTTAGAAATCTGAAGCAGAAAAATTAATTGTCTGTCTCAGATATACTGAAGGTTAAGTATACTATATCTCATTGTTGAAATGTACCTGTCTTCACCTACAACTGAGTTAATTCATTTCAATACCACAATTTGACAACATTGAGCCATATGTAGAAGTGTGGAAGCAACTTCCCATGTTTTTCCAGGTGAATATTTCTTCAACATCTTTGAAGAATATACATCTCCTGACAATAAGCACATTTTATTGATTTACATATACTGTATACAGTATTGTAATAAAGATACTGAACATTGCTACGTGAAAGAGGTTGAATGTCAGAATAACCAACAAAAAAAGAACTGAAATGTATTGATTGTTTAAATATTAATTCCCCTACATCTGAATTTGGTGAAAACACATTTGGCAGCATTTGCTGCTGTCAGTGTTTCTAAATAAGTCTCTACCAGATTTGCATGATGGGGTAGTGGAATTTTGCCCTTTCTTCTTGACAAAATGACTCCAGGTCACAATAAGACCTTGATTAAGCCACTCAAGAACATTCACTGTCTTCTTGTAAGACTTTGCGTGGCTTTGGCCTTCTTTATCAGGTAATTATTTGGCTGAAATATGAATTTTTTCAGCCAGATTTACCTGAGTCACTTGAGTCACTAAAGCAGGCTTCCTCTTGGATTCTCCTGTACCTTGTTACATCAATTTTTCATGTTGTCATCACCATGCTTGAGATTTAACTGAGTGTTGTGTTGGACTTGTGCTGGACAATGTATCACTTTGCATTTAGATTTAAAAGTTCATAGACCTTAAGTTCATAGACCATAACCATAAAATCCATTCAGATGGATTTCCATTTTTTATATCACTATGTGAGCTGTGGTTTGCATTTCAATATCTATCTGTGGGAACTTACACAGACAAATGTATTGAGCCTTTCAACATACTCTTTTGTATCTGAATTAATTTAGGTGTGTCCTAGTAAAAGGGCTAGATGCTGTGAATGTTTTCAAACTATTTTTCTTTAAACAATTGATGTATTAATTAATTAACATACAAGCCTGGCCTGTAGTACTGTAGATTGGGTGGATTTTAAAGTCCAGTTTGAAAGAGCTATGATTGTGAACTACGACAGCAACAACGTTTGGAAACTCTGCCGGTGGGAGAATAAATTTGGAAGAATAGGCAACATTATTTTTTCATTTTTCATCTTCTGCATTCTTTCTCTTCTGTCCAGGAATAAATTGTACCCAGCAAACCATAGATTTGTGTAGAAGGGGCAGCAGGCATGTGTACAATTCTAGACGTTGCAATCAGTGTTTCTTATGTATTAAGATCTGTATTGAACAAGATGCAAATTTCCAGTCGTCGATAGATAATTAAATCTGAAGTGTGACCTCAATTATA